GCTCACTTTACTTGTAGCTTGCTGACTTGTAACTAACTCACCTCGTGGTGGCGGCGCCCTTATATACCTGCGCTGGCACTTATGGCAACTCTAGAACATTCTGAAGTTTATCGCTCATTCTCTTTCTCTCGCTGTTCGCAGTGTTCATCCAACTTGACGTTTCTCTTTGTGGAACATTCTACATCATTCCTCGAACATTCTGCCTATTTCTCGTTGTTCGCTTTGTGTTGCCGCAGTATTCGCACAGTATACCAGTAGAAAAGGTTTTTGTTTTTGTAGCTGTTTCGTGGTGAAAGTCCTTTATGGGCGCCAAATTTCCCCACAAGAAATTGAGCGCATGGTTGCTTTTGCATTCCAAAAGAACGAATATTAGAAAACATTGAAAAAAAGTCTGAGATAATACAATTATATTCTACTAGAAATAAACTCGATAGTGTGCGCTAATTAGATAATGTGATAATCATGTTTAAAAACTCTTTTCAAGTCTTATTTTTCAGAAAATAATATTGTGGATCAGATTGCTCTGAGCGCTTCAGTTGTTTACCAAGAAAATGCACCCCTGTTGGTTATTATTTCTGTATCGCAAAGCGGTGAGTTTCTATTTCTTCTGCTTATTTTCCACCGAATTTAAACAAACATCTCTTTGACTATGAAATTAGTCGTTTATTGCTGTTTTTGGAGGGACGCGAAAACATCCTACTGTTGGGGGATTTCAATGCTAAGACCAGAAGATGGGGTAGCCCAAAGGACCTTCCTAAAGGTAAAATTCTGCTCGATGCGATTCGAAAGGCAAATTTCAAATGTTTAAACGATGGTAGTCCTACTTTCGCTACTAGCAAAAACTGTCCAGGCAGCCTTTCAGTCTTAGATCTTTCTTTTACTAACTCGAACTGTCAGCTTATGTGGAAGGTGGTCCGTGTTTTTGTCGGGGGCAGCCATCACTGGCCTATTATTATAGATCTTCCAAACGTTGCGAGCAAACCGGTTCCGTTCGTTCAAAAGCGAAAGCTTAACTCGGCGCTGGCTAGAATTCACTGTAATGAGGGGGTTGATGGTATCTGCGAGGCCATAAATAAGGAGATTAAAGGAGCCACGATTGATTTAAACTCTGTAAAGGGTTCCCTCAAAGCGTGGTGGAACGAGTCATTAAAAAAACAATTTCGCCTGCTTTCGGCGTGCAGGAAGAAAGCGAGGCTGACGAACAATGTTAGGGACTTTGAGGAATTACTTAATATGGAAGAGGAGTGGAAAGCGGCTGTAAAAAAAGCAAAAGCGGACTGCTATCGGGCGAGAATTAGTGAGTTAAATGAATACCCGAACACTACAGATGCATGGAGGTTCGTAAATAGTGTTAAGGGGACTCGTAAAAGTGTTCCATTTTGGCCCAGTGATGAGCAGGCTCAATATTTAGACTTATTAAAAAACCAATGCGCAGTGCGGACCGTTGAAGTGGGTCGGGACTGTCAGGTCAGCGACAATGGGTGTATGGACGATTCGGGGTTAGAGTTTTCGGTGGAGGTGTTTGATAGCGTTTTGAGGAAAAAGAAGAAATCGGCGGGGGGCTTGGATGGCGTAACATTTGGTATGCTGAAAGGGCTGCCGGTAGACACGAAGGAGGCTTTAGTTCACGATTTTGAGAGGCATTTTTTGGAGAATAGAGTTAGAGAGGAGTGGAGGAAGATCAAGATCGTACCTATTCCTAAGCATGGGAAGGATCTTAATGATATTCAGAATTTCAGACCTATATCGCTTCTTTCAGTGTTTGTGAAGAGTATCAACATGATTATAAAAGAAGAGCTAATGGAATGGGCGGAAAAAAATAACGTTTTTCCGGATGGCTGTTTTGCATACAGAAAAGGGAAATCGGCGACAATGTGCCTTAATGAGTTCATTTACTGGTCCAGCAAATTTAAGAAGTGTAGGAAAAAAGTTTTCGTGTGTGTATTGGATATTTCCGACGCGTACAATTGTGTCAGCATCGACAAGTTAGATTACAGGTTAAAGGTTTTAGGAGTCGATAGCAGAATTCGTAATTGGGTGATAAACTTTTTCTCCAGAAGAACTCTTGTGTTAGGAAAGCATTCAGTTGAGGTTTCAAATGGACTACCCCAGGGGAGCTGTCTGTCGCCGCTGCTTTTTAACCTTTATACTGCAGGGCTCCACAGGTTGAATGATGATAGCTCGTTGATGTTTCAGTTTGCGGATGATTTTGCGTTCATCTGTTGTGGTAATACTGAGCTGGAGGCTATAAGTGCCCTTGAGGGCAAACTGATGGCTTTCAGTAATAGGTGCAAAAGTCTAAATCTTGGCATAAATGTGGAAAAAACCAAATTCATGTGTGTAAATAGCAATAGGTTTAGCTCCTTTTCTTTATACTTGGATGGTAAAGAAGTTGAGCAGGTCCGCTCGCTAAAGTGGTTGGGGAGGGTAATTACTGCGAGTACATCGGTAAATAATCAGGTTAGCAGACTAAAAAGGATTGCGGTACCGGGTAAGAATCTTATCAAATGTTTAACACCTATAAAAAGCGGTTTGGTGCCCAAAGTAGCTTTAAATTTTTATAAGTCCTTTGTGAGAAGCAAGGTGGAATACGCTAACTCCACTTATGCGGATGCACCTATTGGGTACAACAAAAAGATACAAGTCATTTTGAATGATACTCTTAGGCGGTGCTTGGGGCTTCCTCCAAGTGCTCCGGTGCATGTGAGGTATGCTTTGGCAGGCGAGCTTCCCCCTCTGAAAAGAGCGGAATGGTTGGCTGCCAAGGAGCTCAGCAGACAGTGGCTTGTAAATCCTCGCCTCAGGGATGACCTGATGAGTGGGAGTGTCTCTAAATCCAGTTATTGTTTTGTTTACGAAAAGCACAAAGCCGTTTTCAATCTTCTTGGTACTGATGTTTCTTTTTGTAGGCATCGTAACCTCCACGTGGAGCTTTCGGAGCTGGGTACTACCAAAAATAATGTTAGTACGGTACAGTTGAAAAGTATTTTTGTCTCTAGACTAAGGGAACTGCAGAATAGTGGTTTTTACCTCCTTGCCACGGATGCGTCGGTTTCTGATGGAAGGGTGGGTTTCGCAGTCCATGATCCTCAAAAAAATGTGTCATTCTTATATAGAGTAGTGGGTGATTTTTCCTCCACCTTCGGGGAGCTTCTAGCAATCAGGCAGGCGGTTCGGATGATGGTCAAGTTGGAGTGTAAGAAAATTGCCATTCTTTCAGATAGCATGGCGGCGTTGAGATTAATTAACAAGAAACGAACGACTAATCACATTGTTGCGGAGATTCAAAATTTGATGCACAACTCAAAGTTTGAAAGCATAAAGCTTAGTTGGGTTCCCAGTCATGTGGGGTTAGTGTACAATGAGAAAGCGGATTTAGCGGCAAAGGCTGCAGTGAGAAATGGACAGGACATGCATATAAAGTTTACGGTTGAGGAGGGGCTTAGAAGAATTCGGCAAGCCATTTGGCGTGAGTGGGAGAGTGAGTTTTCGGATATTTCTCAATCCAAAGGTAAAGTTTTTGCTGAAAATGGAGGTAAGGTAACTGACTCCCCTTGGTTCTGCGATAAAAAATGCAATTTTTCCGTTCAGGAAATAAAACTAATAAATAGACTCATGTGTGGACACACATATGGAGAGATTTTTTTAAGTAAGTTTAAAGCTAACATCACTGATGCTTGTTTATGCTGTGGGGTTAGAGAGACAAATGACCATCTCATTTTTGTATGCCAAAAGTTTTCCGCCGCCAGAAACAATTTCACTATTTTTAGTAAATACAACTGCTTAAAAGAAATTTTCGCCAGTTTTGATTATCGCCATCTCAGGGAGTTGCTTTGCTTTTTGGAGACGGTGAAGCTCGACACGCTTCTTTGAGTATAAAAAGATATAGATATAGGGAAAAAAAAAATTAAAAGTGTATGTATGTATAAAACAGACATATGTTTGTTTATTGTTAAGTAATAGTCGTTTTAGGGAAAATGAAGAAAAACAATTACAACCAGTCAATTATTATTAAAAAAAAAGAGAAATTTTAATGAAAGCAAGGAAAACAAAAAAAAAAGTATGAAACAAATATGTATGCATGTTTGTTCCGAATGCTTTAGAATGTAGTCATATGATTAAATTTTTTCTATTCAATCAGATATGGAATTGGGCACGTACGATTGTGCATTTAAAAAATAATAATAATAATAAAAATAATTATATTAGTAATAAAATAAAAAGAAGAGAAAGAAGAAGATGATGGATGAGTGTCATTAAGAGATATGTATGACTGGTTTGGAGTCTGGATGTATCTACCTCATTGTAGTTAAATTTTCCATATGTACATGTATTACGATTCTTTTGTGTTAATTGTAAAGATGCCTAAATTAGTGTTTTTTCTGCAATCAAGTTCCTTTGATTCTGCTGGTACAACCACATTTTATTAATTATAAGATAGTCGATTCACTTTATTACTTGGCTTAAAAAATGAATTACTTCTGTAGTTTTTGGTGATTTTGTACTCAATAATTTTTTAATTTCCTCATGAATATGAAAATTCATCTTATAACCTGTACTTACATGAATACCTGATAGGGTACAAACCTTTTATTCTTGTATAAAAGGCAATCAAAAAAAAAAAAAAAGGCTGATAGAGAATTTTGTATTTATTGTATTATAATGTACGTAGTACGATAGGTTAAATTGGTGATCAATCACTTTTGAATTTGTGCAGTTTGAATTTTTTGCTTGGTTTATCATCACTCGTCGGGTCACCGCTCACTAAAAGCTTCGCATACAATTAAAATCTTCTTGGATAACCTGGCTCTTGAGGACATCATAACAGTCCTTGCCAATGTTCTATACGCGTTGTTGCGTTTCTAAACAAAAAAAAAAAAAAAAAAAGAGTTTATATTTCTTGGTAATTCGGTTTGTAAAGTGGTAAACAAATTATTGAAATTTATTTATTTGATGTGTTTAACATTTGATTAATGCAATTGTCTGCCTTTTCAGACTATTAATTACAAGCACAGCATCATCAACGGTGATTGCAAGAACTACTGCAATCCCTGCGGTTTTTCCTCTTGGTAAATGCGTTCTGGTCGTGACCAAGGGTGGTCTCCCAATCGGCCGGGAATAAGGTTAGTCATTTTCAATTTTATATCTTTGTTCATCGACATTATATGACATGTCATCATTGCAGGCTATTGTTGCATAACAAAACGCCACAACCACCGCTGTGGTAAATATGTTCCAGCAGTACTGCCAACCGCCGTCGGTGTAATGATTTCGATAGCTGAACAAACGCCATCTCCTGGGGATTCCCACATGCCGACAATAGCTATTATATCACGTGTGAATGCAACTGCGGCTAAATTTGGTTATTAACAGTGCAATAGTGCCATCTCATTGGCAAAAACACTAAGGGATGCTGGCACATAGAGGTTGTAAAGTTTTTGGAATCGATGAACTTACTCGAAGAAGACGATGGTCGAAAACATATGATGAAACATCTTCTGGCGTGCCTTTGACAATCGTTAAGTTAAGACGGAGGCTTCACATACGATATTTCACACATGGCTGGAATTCGTTAGCGGACAGAGCACACATTTACAAAATATTTATCGTTCTGCAGAACGTGCATGCATATTCGATTCCGATTTTATGGGACGATTACGGAGGACAACCGAACTTCAGTGGGTTGGCCAGTGGCTGAAATGGTATTACCGATGGCAACTAGCAACTGAAAGCTGGTAACTGAGTTGCTATATTGGCACGAACTAATCAAGGCTGTCATAGAATCCATCGTAGTCCGATTTTCCGTGAAATCTATGAAAATGCAATTAAATTCGAGTAGCTACGAACGCAGTGCATATGCTAAATTTCTCGTACCTAGCTAAAGTGCTTGACAAAGGCAGAAGGCTTATCTTCAACATTATAACTTAAAATAAAAGAGTTAAAGATATGCAATAAAAGAATACAACAGAACCAAAAAATCTCAAAACTATTAAACATAAAAAATTGCACGAATAAAATTCATAATTTAAAATAAAATAAAATATCGCAATTGTTTTTTATATGTACATACATATTTACAAAATGAATCTTAAAGCACCCTCAGTAAGTCCTAAACATATAAACGACTAATAAGAAAAATAATAAATAACAGTAATGTGAACAAGTATGTCGAGAAATCTCTAAATAGTAGCGAAACTGTATCTGAATAATAACAAGTAATTTTGAGCAAAAAATACAACCGACTTTAATGCTCATTCAGGTCGTTCTGGTTACGTAGATCCGACTGTCCTCCCTTTTTTTAAAAAGGTTAAAAAAATGAATACGTATTCTACAGAAATCAAGATACATATTTAAGGACTTTAAGTAAAAATAAACAAAGGAAAACTTGTTCGTGATATCTCGAGGTGTATCCATGATACAAAAATCTGAAGGTAAAACCGCTGAGAGGCAGCCTGAACATTTTTGAAGTTTGCTAACATTACAAAAATGTTTTCAAATTTCCAATTTCACAAATACATTCTCATTTTCAGTCTCAAATAAATGAAAATTTCAATATTTTCATCTATTTGTTTTTTGTTTTACTTTTATTTGGCATTTGAGTTGCTCTCAAAATTTCAATTTTATAAAATAGACAAACTTCAAAAAATAAATGATGGCCGACGAATTGAGCAAGCGCCTTTTACCTTTAAATATTTGTATCATGGGTGTATTAAACAAGGTGTTATTGACAACTCAGTGCGGCTCTCTTAATATTATGTAAAAAATATAAACAAACGATTCAAAATGCATAAAATTTTTTTTTCAATTTGACTATAGGATGGTTCTTCTGAGAGCAATATCAAATTCAATCACACTTTGTTAAATACATTTTGATCTCTACCAAATAATATACTTCCTCTGTAAATATTCTATGAAGTGTTCCAAAATTTGCTCCGAGCGCGTTCATTGTTGATCATTTGATTTAAATAGTTTGTCATACAATTAATACTATAGTTTAATCGGAGTTAATATATTCTTCAGTAATTAATTATATTATATTAAAACATAAGCTTATAAGAAATTTTTTAGTCTTAACATTTATATCGTGTTCTAAAATTCGCTCCGAGCGCGTTCACTATTGATCTTTTGATTCAAATATTTTTTGTCAAGCATTCAGTAGTGAAGTTTGTTCGGAGTTAATTAATCATATTACATTGAAATATAAACGTATAATATGGTAGAAAGTTAGAAATTATTTAATCTTAATATGCATATTTCGCTCCGTGTTCCAAAATTCACTCTGAGTGCGTTCACTATTGATCATTTGATTTAAATAATTATTTATCAAGCATTCAGTACTATAGTTTGATCGGAATATATATATTCTTAAATAATTGATCACATTTTATTAAAATATAAACCTTTAATAGGGTACAAATTGTGAAATTATTTGGGTTTAACATGTATAGTCGGCCAGAGACAATTGCAGAAAACTGCAACTACTCGTGAAAACTTACAATAAAAACAATGTAGATGAAAGTAATAAATTTTATTATTAAAATTAGATCCATATATAAAACATTTTACATCATTTATTTGAAGTAAATCGGAATATATTTTTACATATAAGATAGTTTCCATTTAACTCATAAAGTACATATTTCACTACAAATATTTTTAAGATCATTTCGAATTGCAAAAATAGCGCTAATTAGTTGTATTGAAGTATGAAACATTTTATTACGTTCATGCTTACTTATAAAGCGCATAACAATATTTCTCTCGCCATTTATCCGATGTTAAAATTTTTCACCACATTATTTTGCTGCACAGCACCCTGAATGCGGCAAAATAGTTGCTCGCAACCCTCAAGTCCTTTATGGGGACCAAATTAACAGCTACAACAACAAAAACTTTCTACTGGTATACTGTGGTATTCGCCACAATATGTATATACCACATATAACTATGTACTTTAAGGGCCGGTTGTTCAATGTCTGGTTATCACTACTTGCCGGTTAAACATCATTATCGACGATTTCGACAGCATGCATATAACATGTGATCGATAAAGCAGTCGTTGTATCTAACCGGAGCTTCTACCTCCGATTTGTGCTAATCGGACATTGAACAACCGGCCCTAAATGTAAGTTCATTAAGAGACAAGTAAAAACGGAATCAAAAAAACTGTGCAAAAAAACAACTAGCGCTCTCTCAATGAACTTCAACCATATCAGGCGCTGGAATCTAAATTTCATATAAATCATTCTCATATACTCTTATAAGCTAGCACTCACCAATCTCTCCAGCGATGTAAGCGCTTGCATCCAGGAAGATCAGTAGCTGTAAAGAAAAGGAATATGCAAAAAAACTTCCAGGGCAGACTCATACGGGTGAGGTACAAACTAAATTCATATAGTTGCGTTCATTTGGATTTAGCACTTATAGAGGACGGAGCTCTTCCCTAACTACCGGCCGTGGCATCAAAAACAAGTGAAGTTGCATAAAAAAAAAATGTGGAAATTAATTCTATTACCGACAAAAACTTAACTAATCAAAGGAATTCCCGAAACAATAAAATTTAGTTGAAGAAATGAATTAAAACTTATGGTGAGAAACAACAAAACCGGCAATTAAAACTTATCCACTTTACTTAGTTCTGCTAATGTATACTAGGTACTAAAAGCGAAAATTCTACTAAAACTCATGGGCAAAACTTAAATCTAATTCATCTTTACATGGCTTAAAAATGCTTAAAAAACTCAGGAAATGTGCCAAACAATAAATAATGTGATAACCAAACTTGGAACAAGTGTTCCGTTTTTTTTCCAAAATTCTGCGAAACTAAAAACTATAAATACATACATATGTACTATATAAGTATGTATGTAATACGGCCTCACGAGTTCCCTATGTACATATTCCCTATACATAACACTATTCGCACATAGCACTGGAATTGCCCGATGGAATTTGGGAATTGCATAAATAAATGTAGTGAGCGCAATGACTGCCGCGTGTGGGAGTTCCAGCGTATACACTTCCCGCGTTGAGTCTCTAGCGCTCCCGCCGTATGTATGTATGTATGGATGTTCGTTCCTTGTTTTCCTTCCTCTCTCCTTCTGGTACAAGTCTCCAATTCGTAAGTGCTCTCGCTTTCTATTTACATAGGTCGTTGCTCTATCCGTTTATATATCTGTGCATATGTTTCGCTGTTGATCACCAAGTACATAGAAGCCTGGTTTTCCGAAAAAGGGCGTATCTCAGCACTCCGGGTTTTGGGAGTTTTAGTCCGCCGTAATCCCTGCCTAGCAGTACCTGTAATAAAATTCCTATGTCACTCGTCTCGATCTATTCTCCTGGCTTTGTATTTAATCTAAAACTTCATTTAATTTAATTTAATTTTCTTTAGTTAACAGCAATATGCCAGTTATCATATTTTATGTATGTGTGCGTGTACACACCTACGTGTGAGTGTGTAGCTTTTAGTTTTACTTCGTGATGTTTAGATACATTATGAAAATCAATAACTTTTTCACATCAAGGTTTATTTTAATTTTTATTTGTTCATGCTTTTCGTATTTGTTTTATTCCTATATTTTTTTGAATTTAGATCAGATACATATTATAACTTATGACTTTACAATTTATTACGCTTTATTCAACTTCGCGTTATTTCACGGTTTAAACGCTTGAAATTGCTTTTTTCTAATTTAATTTACTATAATATAATTTAGTTTAATATTATTTTTTTTTAATTTATTTCATGACACCTTTTACTATCACGTATTTAATTTTAGTATAATTTATGACACTCTATAAAGTTTTAGGTAGTTTATTTGCTAAGCTCACTTTATTTAAATTTTATTTCATTTTTATTTATTTTTCATTTGTCTACATGTATACTGCTAACTCTCCTAGTGGGCAGGTTACGATTCCTACAGCAGTTAACTAAATTTTCACACAATGCCTTGCCCGTTTTAACGGATTATACTGGCAAAGTTTTATTTTTAATAGAATGACCGACTTTTCACGTCTTATTTCTTTCCTGGCACCTTTTGATTTGATTGTACTAAGGAAAATTGACGATCGTGCCCCCGATGACTGCTGAAATTCCTTCTACCATTTCACTCAGTCACACATACACGCACATTTAAGACTTTCGCTGTTTTTACATACACACAAGTTGACTCGAACAAACATTCATATTGACCCTTTCGCACATGTTGGACACAATGTTTATACACATGTTGCGATTCTTGCAGGGATACACTTGTGCAGTGATGTTGAGTTCAACCCCTCAAGCTGCTGTTACATACGCCTTATGTCAAAATGATGTGTTTGTTGTAAAATGAATTCGCCTTGTTTACAACAAACACATCATTTTGACATTCAGTAGTACCGCGGCGAAAATTTAAATCGCCATCAACACCACCTTGTATAAATTCGCCTTGGTGGTGTTGATGGCGAATTTAGATTTTCGCCGCGGTACTTCCTACTCCTCGAACATTCGTGCCATAGAACATGCTGGCCAAGGTGGTATCAGTTCAAGAATGATAGAATACAAGATTGCGCGTCCTGGGCGTTGACATTTGTGTACCACAGTAAACAAAGAATAGAGCGAAAAGAAGAACGAGTTAAAACTTCCAAAACAGTTCACTTTACAGCGAAAAACGTGTTTTAATTTAGCTAAACGCGAAAATATTGCATTTTTCACCTAATCTATTAGAGAATAGGTAACATTTTAGTGCACTCCATTGCTTTGCAATTGAGGCTGCTTCAGCAAACGTTTTAGTGCACTCCATTGCTTTGCAATTACGACTTCGGCAGCATCTCCGCGGGATTGATTAGTTAACTTGCTAATGGAG